TGTGAACATCTCAAGAGGGGTAGGCAAAAGTGGTGTCACCTTTTAAGACAAAGGCTCAGAAATCAAATAGGGTCACTTCTGTGTAGTTCCACACCCACCCAGATTCACTGGAAGAGAACATAGAGCCCACCTCTTCATGGGAGAAGTTTCCACATCACATTATAAGAAGAGCATAAGGGTTGGGATATGCTGTGGTGGCCATCTTTGGAAAACATGATCTGTCACATTACTCAGTAAATATTTGTTGATTGAATGACTGTTTTATGCTCTCAACTTCTTTCTCCACCTCCTTGCTTTGCCCCTTACCAACGATATGACTTGGGAAAACTTATTGTACCAGTAGGTTGCCCAGAGAAATAGAAACAATAGGAGATATAGATAGATAGATAAATGGATAGATAGATATAGATATTTAAATTTAAATTTATGTTTAAATCTATAAAGAGATTTATTTTAAGGATTTGAAGCACATGATTGTGGGGACTGGCAAGTCTGAAATTTGTCGGGCAGGCCAGCAGGTTAGAAACTCAGGCAAGAACTGATGTTGCAGTCTTGAGTCTAAAATTCACAGGGAGGCCAACAGATTGGAAACTCAGACAGGAGTTGACATTGTAGTCTTTCGTTTTGTTTTGTTGAAGTATAGTTGATTTACAATGTTTCAGGTGTACAGCAAAGAATACATAATATATTCTTTTTCAGATGCTTTTCCATTATAGGTTATTACAAGTTATTGAATATAGTTTCCTGTGCTATACAGTAGGTCCTTGTAGGTTACCTATTTTATATACAGTACTAGTGTGTATCTGTTCATCCCAAATTCCCAATGTATCCCCCCCTTTTTCCTTTTGGTAACCATAAGTTTGTTTTCTATGTTTGTGAGTCTGTTTCTGTTTTGTAAATAAGTTCATTTGTATCACTTTTTTTTAGATTCATATAAGTGATATCATATGTTTGTCTTTCTCCAGCTGACTTACTTCACTCAGTATGATCATCTCTAGGTCCATCCATGTTGCTGCAAATAGCATTATTTCATTCTCTTTTATGGCTGAGTAGTATTCCATTGTATATATATATATATACCACATTGACACTGTAGTCTTGACTCTGAAATGTACAGGGCAGGCCAGCAGGCTAGAGACTCGGGCAGGATTTCTATGCTACAGTCTTAAGGCAGAATTCCTTCTTCTCTGGGAAAACTGGTTTTGCTGTTAATGTCTTCAACTGATTAGATGAGGCTCACCCACATTATCCAGGGTAACTTCCTTTACTTACAGTCAACTGATTGGAAATGTTAATAATGTCTACAAAATACCTTCACAGCAACATCTACACTGGGGTTTGACCAAACAACAGCACCATAGCCTAGCCAAGTTGACACATAAAATCTAACCATCACACTTACCCTCTCTGAACCAGCTTTTTCCCCTTTGAAATGAAGACAAAAGTCCCTTATAAGGCTGCTGGGAGAATGAGAACTGATGTATGGTAGGCAGCCTCTCCAATGGCTCCCACGACCTCCATCTCCTGGTATTCACGCCCCTGTGTAATCCCTTCCCCTTGAGTGTCAGTTAGACCTGTTGCCTCAGTTTTAACGAATAGAAATAGAATATGGCAGAAATGATGAGATGTCACTTCTGGGATTAGGCTATAGAAAGACTTGGCTTCCATCTTGCCCACCCTCTCTTTTGCTCAGTCACTCTGAGGGAAGCCGGCTGCCATGTTGTGAGCTGCCTTTGGTGGTGTGGAACTGATGTCTCCAGCCAATAGCCAGTGAAGACCCGAGACTGGCACCAGCCACGTGGGTGAGCTGGGAAGTAGACACCGCCCCCCACCCAAACCACCACCCAGGAGAGCCTCTGGCTCTGGTTGATACCTTAACTGCAACCTCACAAGAGACCCTGGGCCAGAGGCACCCGGTTAGGCCACACCTGGGTTCCTGACCCACAGAATCTGTGAGATAATGAATGTGTGCTGTTTTAGGCCTCTAAGTTTGGAGGTAATTTGTTACACAGCAAGAGATAACTAACATGCATTATGGGTGGTAACTGCCTGGCATATAGTCTCTGGCATACAGTAGGTCAGTAGGTCCTACAGCTTTATGTGAAATTTCTCTCAGAGAGATTTGTATTTTCACAGAAGACTCCATCCCAAAGGCATGATTTTGTCATGGAACTTTTCAGCAGCGTAATGGGAGGGAGGGTACTTCTGAGAACACCTGAGGTCACACTACACAGATGGCCATCAATTCTGATTCCAGGTAAGGCAAAGAGGTAGTCCTCTCCCTCATGGGAGAGGGACTACTAGCTGAGGATGAGCTGAGGCAGGGGCTCTGGCAACTTCCCCAGGAAAATAATCTGTATTGACAACAACAAATACCTATAGAGAGGGCCCTAGAGATACAGTGGGGAGCAAAGGCCTAATGTCACTGATCTCAGAGCACTTGCAGGTCACGGAAGAGGCTAGTAAATAATTACACCAATGCAAATATAATGGTAAACTGACACCGGTCCTCTGCAGGGAAGGAATTTGTACACTAGGAAAGTGACCTAGACTAGAGGCGTCAGGGGAATTTCTTGGAGGAAGGGGCATGCAAGCTGAGATATCAGGACAAGTGGGCATTAACTAGATGAAGAACGAAGGGAAAAGCATTGCAGACAGAAAGCACAGCATGTGCAAATGTCCTGTGATGGGAGGTAACATGGCGTATTTGAGAACTGATAGGGGATCGGTGTGTGGCCAGAAGACAGTGAGGGGGACAGCGTGAGAGAGAGGCTGGGATGGTCAGCAGAGGCCAGACCGTGCTGACCTTGTAGTAAGTTGTAGGTCATGGATCTTTACTTGGAAAACAAAGGGAAGCCATTGGAGAGTTTAAGTGAGGATGTGATGTAATCAGATGTGTGTTGTTTTCTGGAAACTGTGTATAGATTGGATTAGTGGGAGGGGGAGGGGAGGCCGAGTTGGGTATGGCAGTAGCCCGGTGAAGGGGTGCTAGCAGCTTGGACCCTAGTAGAAGCTGTGGAGGCGATAAGATGGGAAGCATCAAGCTGATGCTGTGGAGACGAAAGCCCCAAAACGTGATGTCAGAGAACATTCAATGGATCTGAGTTCAAGTTCTGACTGTGCTTCTTATGAGCTGTGTGGCCTCTGGAAAGTTTCTAAACCTCTCTGTGTTTCAAAGTCCCCATATGGAAAGTAAGCGTAAGAAGGCCAACCTTGCTGGCTGGTTGTGTAGATACGCCTCGAAAGTGCACGGGCAGTGGGCTGAAGCACCCCGTAGACGTCATAGAAGAAAATTCTGACCAAGACAGACAATTTCGCTCTAGCTACAACTGACGTAATGTGTTTTTGCTGTACTGTTTGAGAATATCCAAGTCTGCCACGGAAGACAAGTAAACAAGTGGGCTGGATAAAATGTCACTGATAAGTTCGTAACCAGGGATAGATGTTAGGCAGATGACGTAGAGCAGATGGGTGAACAGAGATAAAAAGAGGTGGAAGGAGCAAGAGATTCCTAATATTCATGAAGCACTAAACATACAAGAGACGAAATATTCATGAGGCGCTAAATATATTTAAGGCACCCGAGGCACTAAATATTCATAATAAACTAAATATACATGAGGCATACGAGGCACTCAATATTCAGCCACCCATTGGTAACACTCATTCTGGCCCCATGTGTCCAAGAAATGCAAATAACCCTGGCTGCTCCCCGGGCTAATTGGAGACGGGCAGCCATGGCCGGGCATGCTGTCTCTGCATCTCTCCAATTGAGCATGAGTGCGACACTGGCCCCAGGCACATTCCAGACTTCTGTGCACCTCAAACCTCAACTGTGGTTTCATACCCACACCATCAGCGGGGAAGGCGGAGGCAGCAGAGAAAGACAAAGCATTGCCCACCCCAGGATGCAGGATGCAGGATGCTGGTACCCTGTCCTAAGTGTTTGAATCTGCCGCGCCTCTCTTTGTGTCTCGCTGTGTTTTCGGCGGCTTCACAATGCTGTGTGATTTGAGCTCTCTATCTTGGTTCGGGAGCCTTTCTTTCCTGTGATCTCTGGGATCGCTTGCTTGGAAGTGTACTGGGTAGCCACGGTTGCCTGGGGGAAGAGGTGTGTTCCCACGTTACAGGTGAGTAACGCTGGAGAATGAAACTCTCCTGGCGCCATGTCAGACAGAACACGGTTCTAAGCAGGTCAGGCATTGCGGTTGGAAGCATGGGAAGGAGGTGTGGCGTGTGGCAAGCCAGCTCTGAGGAAATGGTGATTATCTGCAATGGGTGAGCACTGACTAATGCCAAGGGTGCAGAGCTCAAGAGTCATAGCTGTGGGTGCCTGTAAAGACATTGCAAAACTGAAGTAGGGAGTTACTCGTGTCCACGGTAGACCTGTTTAGTGTCCTGTGAGATTCCTAATCCCTTCGAGTATGTTAATAAGAATTCCCAAACTGGAAAATGGACCCAAAACGCCAAGAGGTTAAGGACCACTATGGTAAGTGCTAGGCTCTGGTGCCGTAGTAAATGGTCCCCTAAATTCTCAGTGACTTAACACAACAAAGATTCATTTTTCATACACACACACACACACACACACACACACACACACACAATATGCCCATTTGGGGTTCGCTGAGGGTCTTGCTTTACCTTGCCCTCACTCCAGGACACTGGTTGATGGGCTGCTACTTAGAATATCCCCATCCATAGTGGCAAAGGAAAGCAGGGTCACTTCCTGCTCGTAACTCATTGGCCATGACTGGTCACATGGCTCCACTCAACCACAGCAGGCCAGGAAGTACCATTCTTCCGTGTGCCTGGACAGCCGGAAACATCTCGTGGATGTCTCTGATTTGACTTCATTCGAATGTATAGAAACTCACGGACGCAGTAGGGTTTGGGGATGAGGGTGTCCAGATTGGACTGCAAGACCCAGACCCCGCAAGACTACCTTCAGAAGACCTCGTGAGGTTTTCCAACTCCGCCACCATCCTCAGTAGACTGACCTCAAGGTCCTCTGCTTCCACAAAAGCATTTATTCCAAGAGAAGGCAGCTGATGACAGCCATCCAGAGAGGCAGGGTTTCCATCTTCAGAGACACATCAGAGCGATACATGCAGTGGCCAGAGGAGGAAGGGTCTGGAAAGAAAGGTGATAGATGGAAGGACATCAGGGCAGCCGCGTAAACTTGGCATGACTTTTCCAATTTAACTCGGTAATAAACACTTGGCTTTTTAAATAGCATTTGCTTTAAGTAGCCCTGTTAATTAGTATTAATTAGCAGCTTGCCTCCTAATTGGTGGTTTGCAAGCCAGGAAGTTGAGGTGGGGAGTGGGGTGAAGGTAAAGGTGAGAGGAGAGAGGGGCTTCTAGCTTTCTAGAATGAGCAATTAGCAATCATTCACATGAAAACTGGGATGCTTCCAAGATTGATAAATTCCCCAGAGCAGTTACCCCTGGCTGGATTCGCTCGCTATTATGCTTGACGCAAACATACACCCAGCTTCCTTGCACAGGTGGCTGCGGTGGCTTTGGGCCAATAATCCTTTCTCTCCAACCCTCTCTGAGCCCTGGACCAACGAAACTTTACAAACCCCTTTCAGAGGCATTGCCCTCTTGCCCGAGCCTGTTCCAGCGTGTTCTCTTTCATCTGTGGCCTTGCTAAAGAACCCCGTCCAGGCAGAAGTTGCCAGATCTTTGGGAGTGTCCTAGGTTTCTGTCCCCTGGGGAGAGGAAGTGTGCCAGCTTGGAGAACTGGCTCCAGTCAGATGGAAGGGAAGAGAGCTGGTTTCCGGAAGGTCACTGAAATGTTAACCCCTGAGCTTTGGAATCACCGAGATTGGGTCCAAGTTCCAGCTCCTCTGCTTGCTATCTGTGTGACCTTGGGCTCATTACTTGTAACCCCTCCGAGACTGTTTTCTCATGCTGCTGATAAGAGAAACTTTTTTGTATAGACTTGCTGTGAGAGTAAATGAAATCATGTGTGCTAAGTGCTCACCGCTTTGCCTAGCATATAGGGAGCGCTCACTAAATGGTATCTATTATTATAAACAAATATTAGACTCATTAGATGAAAGTTCAGCCCTAATGAGGTCCTCAGCACAGACCTAAATTTGAAGCTAGACCTTTAGCACCTGCCACCAGGAGACCTCAGTCTCTCCTGGGCACCTAGAATCCAGTTGGCTTTGATAGATGATATCCAGCTCCTCAGGGGAGCCTGGAAACAGCAGCTAGCCTGTCAGCAATGTCTTAAACAACCCCATGGGTTGTGGAAAGAGCTTGAAGCCCAGCCGGCTTTTCCTGGTGTGCTTCAAGGCCTAGGAGGGTTACCTGACTTCAGCTTGTTCTAGACCCATGTTCTAGGGGACCCTGGCAGTCCTCATTCAGCCCTTGGCCCTAGGTACCAAATCATTTATAGAGGTTTCCTCTCATGGCATTTGTTATGTGCACCAATGAAGGTGACTTTCAATTGTAAGTAACAGTAACCAGTCACAGTGGCCTAAACAAGATAGTGTCCTTCTTTCATGCACAAAAGTCCAGAAGAATGAAGCCCAAGACTGGTAAGGTGGCCCTATTCCACCTAGTCCTTAGAGATCTGGGCTCCTACTATCTTATCACTCAAGTGTGCATGGTCTCCATTCCCAAGGTCACCTCTTGGTCGAAGATGGCTTCTCCAGTTCCAGCTTCCATGTCCACGTTCCAGCCAGCAGAATGGAGGACAGGTAGAAAAAGGGGCAAAGGATACATGTCAGCTGTCTTTTTTTTTTTTTAACGTCTTTATTGGAGTATAACTGCTTTACAATGCTGTGTTAGTTTCTGCTTTATAACAAAGTGAATCAGTTATACATACACATATGTTCCCATATCTCTTCCCTCTTGCGTCTCCCTCCCTCCCACCCTCCCTATCCCACCCCTCTAGGGGGTCACAAAGCACAGAGCTGATCTCCCTGTGCTATGCAGCTGCTTCCCACTAGCTATCTATTTTACATTTGGTATTATATATAAGTCCATGCCACTCTCTCACTTTGTCACAGCTTACCCTTCCCCCTCCCCATATCCTCAAGTCTATTCTCTACATCTGCATCTTTACTCCTGTCCTGCTCCTAGGTTCTTCAGAACCATTTTTCTTTTTTTTAGATTCCATATATATGTGTTAGCATACGGTATTGGTTTTTCTCTTTCTGACTTACTTCACTCTGTATGACAGTCTATGTCTATCCACCTCACTACAAATAACTCAATTTCGTTTCTTTTTATGGCTGGGTAATAGTCCATTGTATATATGTGCCACATCTTTTTATTTTTTAACATCTTTATTGGAGTATAATTGCTTTACAGTGTTGTGTTAGTTTCTGCTGTATAACAAAATGAATCAGCAATATGTATACGTATATCCCCATATCCCCTCCCTCTTGCATCTCCCTCCTACCCTCCCTATCCCACCCCTCTAGGTGGTCACAAAGCACCGAGCTGATCTCTCTGTGCTATGCGGCTGCTTCCCACTAGCTATCTATTTTACATTTGGTAGTGTATATATGTCCATGCCACTCTCTCACTTCATGCCAGCTTACCCTTCCCCCTCCCCATGTCCTCAAATCCATTCTCTACATCTATCAGCTGTCTTTGAAGGAAAGCTCCCAGAAACTTGCCACATGACCTTTCTCATTACATCTCAGTTTGGTCATGTGACCACACACGGCTGCAAGGAGGCATGGAGGAGAGATGGTTAATCTGCAAGAGAGGGAAACATAAAGGAGACACACAGAGAAGTAGGAAGTGAGAGGTTTATCTCCTTCCATTAGGAAAGTCTCATTTGGAGCTGCAGTTAGCTAGAGTTGGTTTGTAACTTGCAGTCCAAACAACAACCAAGACAATCGTTTTCAAGGTCGTTTCCCTAACCCGGCACTAATGGTGTTGTCTACACCAATATACCTAAGAATAATCATGTAGAGGTGTTTGTTTTAAACGTCCATTTTCTGATCCCATTCACCAGAAATTCCAATTCCCTGGGTCTGGGGGGCCAAGACCTGCATTTTTAGCAATCTCCCTGCCACCCAGCCACAATTCTGTTGTAAGCAGTCCAAGGACTACAGTTTGAGAAATACTGGTTTACAGCCAGTTCCGAGATATATCAGTTACTACTGCTGTGTAACAAACAGCCCTGAACTTACTGGCTTAAAACAACATCATATTATTTTGCTCACAAATCCTGTGGGTCAGGAAATTGGAAAGGGTATAACAGGGGCAGCTTGTCTCTGCTTCATAATGGCTGGGGCCTCAATTGGGAAGACCTGAAGGCTGAGCCTGTCTCAAAGGTTGGGGCCTGGAATGACCTGGAGGCTCCCCCAGTCATGCATCCAGGGGCTTTTGGCCTGGACCTCAGCAGGCTCTATCAGCTGGAACACCTACACGTGGGCCTGTCCGTGTGTCTTGGGTGTCCTCACAGCATGGTCCCTGGGTTCTAAGAGCCAGAATCCCAAGAGAGAACCAGGAGGAAACTCGCTGGCCTTTAATGACCTAGCCTCGGAAGTCAGACAGTGTCACTTCAGCTGTAGTCACAGGCCACCAGATTCAAGGAGGAGGGGACATAGATCCCCCTCTACCTTACATTGTAAAAGAGCATTTGGGATGAATGAGAGCTCTTGTTAGAAAATATCGTCTTCCACGAGGAGGAAACCTGGGCATCTGCAGAGGCAGAGGGACCTTAGGAAATGCCAGGTGGGCGGGCTTCTGGTCCCCACCCTGCTGGGAGCAAATCTCCCCTCCTCCTATCCGTTTTGTGTGATGACCTTTTTCATCAGCCAAGATTCTGCCTTTCTCCCAGGTCCTGACCTGGAACTCAGAGCCTGAGGCCAGGAGAATGGGGCCAGCCTTTTCGCATATGACTCCATCGACTCCTCAGGCCTCCAGAAGGTGCCAGTGGTGTATTGGTCTTGCGGTCCCCGTTGGCTTTGCAGGATCCTGTGTGGGAGCCTCAAGGGGGAGCTGATCCAGACATGGAGGAAACCTCTGGCCGGATTCCACCTGGGGTGTGTCAAGGAACTCCATTCAGTATTTTTAAAAATCATCTGTCACATGGCTCTTTTGCCAGCTTAGAATAATTGCCAAGTTTTTGCTCCCTAAACTGCATGGAAGGTACAGAGGAATTCTCTTTTCTTCTTTTTAATGTCAATTTCAACAGTGCCCTGTAATGGGATTCTTCACAAAGGAAACACAGCCTGAAACCATGGTGCTGCATTCCTGGGGCCTCTGTCTACTCTGGCTGGGGCCTCAAACGTGCAGCATTTCGAGGGCACGGACCCAGCTTCTGCTTGGCTGATTTCTTACCCGGGACCATGCTGGCAGGCTTGGCGAAGCCCCCTGAACTGGAGGATGGCCCCCGTACTAGCCACACTACCCTTGACCTACTGGATGCCGTTCCTTTTTGTTAAAATCAAGAGTAACCTTAGACTAACCTCACAGAACTTCATCTGGTCTTCTCACCTTCCAGATGAGGGAACAGAGACCAGAAAGCCAAAGTGACCCATCTAAAGCCATGTGGTTGCCCAAGCCTGAAAGCCTGAACGCTTTCTGACCCCTCCTACGGCTCTTTTATGAGCGGGTCTTCGAAAGGGGCGCACCTCTCCCATCTTGCTAATTAGTAAAATGCCTCTCTTGTCCTTCCCTTTTTCTTTCTTTTTTTTTTAAATTAATTTTTATTGGAGTATAGCTGCTTTACTTCTTCCCTTTTTCTAAGCGCTTCCTCCCTTCCCTATGTACACGACCCTCTGCATTTGCTGTTCCCGTCAACAGATGGAACAGACATTTATTTGAGCTGATGTGTGCATTCAGCTCCCTCTGGAATGAACTTGCTGCTGATGGCTGTCATGGTTCAAGCTGTCATTCAAATAATGTGTGACTCTTCGATCCGGGCTTTGCCCCTAATAAACCCCTCAATGGCACTCTTAGGAAATCTTGGGTGTCTTTTTTTAATGTTGCCATCACAAAAAGCCTCCAGTGTCTGACAGAGGACAGAACTAGCCCATAGGCATCACTCAGGGAGGTTTTAAACAAGCCTGCCAATTCTTTGACCCCTCTCCCATCCAGAGGCGGCATCGACATCCTTTCCCCTTGAATCTGACATGGCCCAGCGACTCACTC